GGAGCATACGCGGACCACCCCCCACCTGCGGGAGGGCAGTGCCGCTTTGAGACGAGCCAACCCACGATTTTACGCTACTATGGGGCGACAAGATCCGGCTTCGGATTCAACCTCGACGCCGCGGCCGACGTGGAAGAGGACGTGGAACGCGATGTCGAGGCTGAGATGCTGGATATTATGGAGATTGACCGTGCTCTGGACAGCCTAGACGATGACCGGGGCAGCGGGCGGAAGAAGGTCTTTTTCGAAGACCAATTCACTTGAGAAGCGCGGATTCGGCACGTCACCACGACGAGGAGCAGATTGAGCTGACAAGGTAGATGACATGACAAAATCCAATGTACGATACCCACGGGCGGACGGGCCGCGCCTCAGCAGTTTCATGGCGCCACGTGACAACTCCCATGTACACAGACGACTTTCGAGTCATCATCCGCACGGCTTGGTGGAGCACAAGGCGAGATTCATCCTTGACCCAGCTCTGTATTCCGAGCGGTATATCAAAACAGTGTGACCAGCCCTTCCCGTCGTGACCGCGAGGTGTGGACTGGAGGGGCCGTCTCGCTCATGCCGACGTCTCCTGAACGAGGGGAGCCTCACGGGGCTCTCCTTGTCTTTTCAGGCAGGGAAGTTTTACGGGTGGGGGCAAAGGGGGGTTTGGGGCTACGGCTGCAGATTTGACCATTTGCTCTCCCGGCGCGTGTTGGCGCCCTGGCATCTGCTCCTTCTGTTCGAAGGGCGGGGGGGTTCGGGCCACGCGGGGAGGTGGAACGTCGGTACATTTCGCTGTGATGATTCCCATATCGTGATGTGCCATTCATGCGTGCAGTGTGCAGTGTGCAGTGTGCCTTTGGCAGTGCGCGGCAGGCATGGGAAGTGCAAGTCATGGTATGGTGAATGTCATTGAAGTGAAAACGCCCCCTGTCATGCAATCATGCAGCTGTAGTACTGTACAGGTTTACAAGGTGTGGCTCCTGCCCCCCTTCCCATCTCACACGATGAGCGAGCCTCGCCGTCAACCACTCTGTCACGACGGCCCCGTTCACAGGTTCTTCTTGACCTGCTCGGCGGTGCCCTGCGCCTTGCCGGCGGCCTCGTGCGCGGCGCCCTTGGCCTGGCCCTTGAGCTCCTCGGCCTTGCCCTTGGCCTCGCCGCGCAGTTCGGCGGCCGACTTGGACGAGACGTCGTCGGCGGTGGCCTTTACTTTTTGCGCCACGTTGGCTAGCGGTCTGCTGTCAGCGCGAGGCAAAAATGGAGATGCTGGGAAGGGGGCGAAAAAGGGAAAAAGAGGAAAGAAAGGGAAAAGAAAAAGAAAATACGTACATCCGGCGTTGATGCCATCGACAATCTTGTCGCTGACGGCGCGGTCGACCGTCTTGAGGCTGTCCTTGACCGTCTCGGTCGCCGATTTGGAGGCGAAGGGGGTTTGTGGTGAAGGCGCGCGGGGCGGCGAGGGTCGTGGCGCGGGTGATGGGCAGGGCGGCGGTGCGGCGGGTGATGGTCTCGATGAGGAACGACATGGTGATGGTGGTGGTAGTGGTGGTTGTGGTGGTTGTGGTGGTTGTGGTGGTTGTTGTTGTGGTGTTAATCGTCCTGCAACGGGAAATAGAGATGGCGCTGCCTTCCCGTGAAGATGGGGGATTAGATGTGTTTTTTTTTTTTTTTGTTTTTGTTTATTTTTTTTTTTTTTTATTTTTTTTTTTATTTTTTTTTTTTTTTTTTTTTTTTTTTTTTTTTTTTTTTTTTTTTTTTTTTTTT